GTATGCCATTGCTCGTTCCCCTGTCTCCTGAAGTCTGACCTCCGCAGGGTCAGGGCTCACGAGTGGTGGTCCAGGAGGGCCGATTTCCCACCACCACTGCCATAGGCAGGACGGGGGGGAAGGGAGGATGGGGAGGTCCTCCTCCTCCTCGCCCTCCTCCTCCTCCTCCTCCTCCTCCTCCTCGCCCCGCTCCTCGTGTTCCTCCTCCTCCTCCTCCTCCTCCTCCTCCTCCTCCTCCTCCTCCCCCTCCTAAATACCTATCTGGTAGCGGTGGTGGAGAAGCGGCACCATCACAGGAGGGCCCGGCCGAGGACGGCGCCGGCGGCACGAGCGTCAGCACGGTCGCGGTGCCCGACGAGCCGCGCGGGGCGGCCGCCTCCGGCGGCGGCAGCAGCATCCAGAGGAAGAACGCACGTCGTAGATTTTCATCGGGGGTGGGCAGAACTCAGAGCGTGAATTACCTACCCCGCTTTCGCTTCCAGGCAAAACCAAGTCATACCACGCGCCTCCTCGTCAAGCGGCCTGGCCAGTACAGTTCGTAGTTTGGCATCGTTTGGTATCTCTCGGAAGCGAGGGCGGTCAAAAGCGAGGTAGGTTTGTTTTCCCCCTAAGAACCCCCACCCTGACACGTCGATTAGTGAATTGTCCGTTCTCGGTCCTCGAGAAGGCGCCGCGGCCGTCCTCTTCCAGGCCTGCGCCCGCCAGGTTTGGGCCCGAGGCCGTTTTCGCAAAACCCCTTTCTACTAAAGGGGGTTCTGCCCATCCCCTACTTAAGCCAGGCGTGTCCGCGTAGAGAGGAGTGCTCAAACGTATCTAAAAACAGTATGGGATTCTTTTCGACGAGATATTTTCATTTTTCTCCCAAGAGCCGCCCGTAGGAGGACATGCCCGACCTCGTCATAGATTCAAGCTTTTGGAGCTCCGGAGCCGCCAGGGGGCCAGCGCCGATCCGAGGAATCTGCGCGGAGTTCCAGCAGCTCATGCCAATGATTCCGCCACTTCGGTTCGCGAGAGGGCGTCGCGGCCGTCATTTTTGCGGGTCCAGGTCCGCCGGTTTCGGTCCCAGGCTGTTTTCACTAAGGGGAGGTTTACTAAAGGGAGGTTTGTCCACCGCCGAGATACACAGACACCCTCCACTGGATTGTTCCTGGGCCTCAGGGGAGGGTGGCGGTGTATAAATCACCACTGAGCCCCAGCGAGTTCATACACAGGGAGCTGCATGCAACACTCGTCGGAGGGTGTCTGTGTGCGTGTATATATTCGTGGCGTAGCTCATGCCAATGACCCAGACATGCGACGTCCTGATTTTTTGTCATACGGCGTCCCTGGAAGTTCCGACCCTTTCCCTGGGACCGGTTTTTTCCGTCCTGAGTCGTTTCTTGACAGTCCCGAGGCCCGGCGAGGGCCCCCCGCCGAAAACGGCCCCAAACCGCCCGTCCTGATTTTCCTTGCACGACACGATCCTGTCTGGGGACGTGCTTTGTTTCTCCGAGCATCGGCAGCGTCGTGGCGTGGAACCCCGATGCCCAGCCCCTCAGCGCGCGGGGCGCCTCGCCGCAGGGCTCCACGCGCGCCGCGGCTGCGCAGGCCCGCGCCTCCCTGGTGGCGATCTCGCCCCCGGCGGCGGCGCAGCCTCGGCAGGCGGCCTCGCTGGCGCTGGCCGGCACGATGTCCGCAAGGCCGCGCTGGAATGGCGCATCATCAGCATCATCATCATCATCATCACACCACCATCGACACAACAACATCATCACCAGCATCAGCATCAGCACCAGCATCCTCATCATCACCACCACCATCGCCGTCACGATCAACAACGCCACCAACGCCACCATCACCATCGACAACATCATCATCAGCATCAGCATCCTCATCATCATCATCACAACCACCATCGCCATCACCATCACCAACGCCACCAACGCCATCATCACCATCGACATCATCATCACCATCATCATCATCACCATCATCATCATCACCATCATCATCATCACCATCATCATCATCATCATCAGCATCATCATTATCATTATTATCATCATCATCATCATCACCATCATCATCATCACCATCATCACCATCATCATCATCATCATCATCATCATCATCATCATCATCATCATCATCATCATCATCATCATATCATCATCATCATCATCATCATCATCATCATCATCATCATCATCATCATCATCATCATCATCATCATCAACAGCATCATCAGCACCAGCATCAGCATCATCGATATCCGTGAGGCCGCGCTGCCCTCGTAGAAGAAGAAACGCCATGTACATAAGCTTTTGGTGCTCCGCGCGGGTTTCTTGGATCCGCGCTGGCCCCCCTGCCGGCGCCTCTCTGGCGCCGCCCCTGGCGCGCTCCGCGCGCCAGGGAGCGGGGTCCAGCGCGGATCCGAGAAGTCCGCGCGGAGCGCCAACAGTCTAATTATGTTTATGCCATTTCTTTTTCTATAGTTTCTTCTTCTTCTTCTATCTAACTGAGCGCATTCCACTGCTCGCGAAGTGCCTACTCGCAAACGTCCGAAACAATCACATGTCTGCATCGACGTCATGTATCGTAGATCCCCCACGGCGGACCCGGGCCATTTGCGAGCAGTTACGTTGCGAGTCGTGGAGCGCGCTTGTCTGCATTCTCCCTCCTCGTCATCCTCCTCCTCGGCCTCCTTTCCCCCCGCCGCTCGAGTCCCGAGGCCAGTGCCACTGCATGCGCTGCAGAGCTTTGTCGCTCTTCGTTCCCCTCAGCTTCTCCGAGGAGTCCGAGGAGGAGGAGGCGGAGGAGGAGGAGGATGAGGAGGAGGATGAGGAGGAGGAGGAGGAGGAGAAGGTTTGGCTCTCCTCCGCGAACTGCGCTGTAAGACAAGATAACCAAACAAAAGCAAGACCTGTGCCCTCGGGAGGCAGCTGGGCTGCGCGTGTCCCTCCTCCACGGCGGTCGGCCAGATGGTGAGCGCAGGAGCCGAAGACGAGCCATCGACAAAAACACACATTGCTGGAGGTCCGCGCGGGCTTCTTGGGTTGAGTCGGGCCTGTCCCTCTACAGGCAGGAGGAGTAGTCAAACATAGCCCCAAAAATTGCCAGGGGACGCTTCTTTCGCTACCTGCCCGTATTTCTGCGCATTGGGGGGGTATTTATTGCATGTTTCGTCCAAAACTCGCCTGCAGGGGGGCACGCCCGACCTGATCCTCGGGTCGGCGCTGGATCGACCCCCCTTGGCGGCGCCAGGGGCGCTTCGCCCGGGGGCTCCGGCGCCGATCCAGGAGGTCGGCGCTGAGCTCGGGGAGGCTGTGTGTTTTGTTGGGCCGCGCGGCCTTGGCCCCCGGAAGGAAGCCAGCCGTCCCTGCACGCGCACCGCCCGAGCGTGACCGGCATGTTCCTGCAGCCGGTATCGAGCCCGACGCCCCCGGCCGGAGCTCGGGGGCGACGACCCGGGGAGGGTCAGGAGGGAGCAGAAACACAGAGACACGAGGACTCGTCGATTCCCCAGAAGATATGGAAAACATCGGAGGTGGGGGGGAAGACGGAAGCCCAGAGAGCATGGGAAAACACATGGGGAGTCCTGATGTGTGTGTGTGTGTGTGTGTGTGTGTGTGTGTCTGTGTCTGTTTATGTGTGTGTGTGTGTCCCAACGCCCATTTCCTCCCATTCTTCGCCGACGGGGGCCGGGGGGCCCCAGCCTGCCAAGGAAGAGCCCGCGGCCTCGCTGCATCGGGGGCCTGTCGGCGAGCTGTCGACAACCCAGACATGCGACGTCCTGACTTTTTTTTTTGCTACGGCGTCCCTGGAAGTTCCGACCCTTTCCCCGGGACCGGGTTTTCCGTCCTGAGTCTACTTTTTTTTCACGGTCCCGAGGCCCGGCGAGGGCCTTCCGAGGCCGAAAACGGCCCCAAAACCGCCCGTCCGGATTTTTTAACGACACGATCATGTCTGGGAGTGCAAGTCTCAGGAGAGAAAGAAACACACAGACACAATGAATCGTCGACTCCCAGGAACATAGGGGGAAATGGTGGAAGTGGGGGGGAAGACAAAGACACAGAAAATATGGGAAGATAGGGGGAATCTTTTCATTTGTGCGTATTTATATTTGTGTGTCCTGGGGCCCCTTCAAAGTCCGCTTCCAGGTCCCCAGACCCCCGACGTAGTGATTTTTTCATTACGTCGACCCCCAGAGGTCCCGACCCTTTCCCCATGACCGGCTTTGCATCCTGAGTCGTTTTTTGACGCTCCCGAGGCCCGGTGAGGGCCCCCGGAGGCCGAAAATTAGGAAAAACCTCTGTCATGATTTTTTCATTACTCGAGGGGGTCTGGGTCACTGGCCCCCCCCCGGAGCCCGCCGCCCCCCCCCCTGCAGGAGCCCGCCCTCCGGCGCCAGGCCCTGCAGTCAGGACGGCGCCGCAGCTCAGCCCCTCGCGCTCCCGCGCCGGCCTCGCGCGCGCGGAGGTGACGCAGACGCCCCCGGTGACCTCAAGGTCGGCCGAAGAGAACTGCTGTCGGGAGCTTTGGCTTAGTTTTAGGTCGGGCCTGTCCCCCTACAGGGGGATTTTCGTTTTTTTTTTTTTTTTTTTTTTTTTTTTTTTTTTTTTTTTTTTTTTTTTTATATATATATATATATATATATATAAAAAAAAAAGTAAAACAAAAAAAACAAAAAAATATAACATGCCCCAAATATAGGCAACCAATAGTAAAACAATAGTCTGGGGACTATTTTTGTTGAGTGTTGTTTTGCCTTTTGGGGGCATTTCTGGGGCATTCTTTTCTCGTCGAAAATCCCCCAGTAGGGGGACAGGCCCGACGTAAGCTTAATTGGCGTGTCGCCGCGCCAGTTCTGTCGGAGCGGAGCGACACGCTATCCGCTCGCAAGGCAGAGCGTGTCGCCTGGGCCGCCACCGCCGAGACTCGCTAAACAACGCTCCCTACCATAGGCGCGCGCACCGATCCTGGCCGGGCCCATCCTGGGCCAGCATCGGTGCAGCTGCCTTCCCGGCCATCCGACGGGTTGATTTTCTCTGGCGTGGCGGTGTTCCTTTCGGATGCAACTCCTGGGAGGTCAAATTCTGTTTTCGCCCTGGTCCGAAAACTGGCTAAATTCAGCTTAATCCCGCTTAGTCCGGCTTAATCCCGCTTAATCCCGCTTGATCCGGCTTAATCCTGCTTAGTCCGAGGCCCACTCCGGCGTAACAGCTTCCAAATGGGGCTTAATCCTCCTTAGTCTTTCCGACGAAAACCTCCCAGTAGTTGCCTCCTAAGTTCCTCTCGTTTTCGGGGAGCCGCCTTCGGGCCCCAGGGCGATCAAACGGGGGCCCGGGGCGAAGGACTGCCCCCAGGGAAAAGGTCAAGACCTGTGGGGCCGCGCGTGGAAGACAGCATGTCGCCGGTGCCCTCGGGGTCGGGTGAAGAGAATGGCTGGAGGAGGGCCAGTCGAGAGAGGAGGGAAGAAGGAGGAGGGAGGAGGGAGGAGGGAGGAGGGAGGAGGGGGGGAGAGAGGGAGGGGAGGGGATGGGGAGGGGAGGGGATGGGGGGGAGGGGATGGGGAGGGGAGGGGAGGGGAGGGGAGGGGGAGGGGGAGGGGAGGGGAGGGAGGGAGGGAGGGAGGGGAGGGAGGGAGGGAGGAGGAGGAGCAGGAGGAGGAGGAGGAGGAGCAGGAGGCGGCCCTCCCTGGCGTTCTGCACTCTCCTGGGGCCTCCTGCAGTGGGGCCCTCGCGCCGGCACGTGCCGGAGGTGCGCACGGGCCCGACGGGTCCGGGAGGGCCCGGGGAGGGGTCCGGGACCCAGACCTCCAACGCATTGAAAAAATCAAGACGGAGGTTTTTCTCGATTTTCGGCCTCTAGGGGCCCTCGCCGGGCCCCAGGACCGTCAAAAAACGACTCAAGATGAGAAACCGGTCCTGGGGAATGGGTCGAGACTTCGGGGGACCGCGTATTGAAAAAATCACGACGTCGGATCTCTGGGGAGTTGGGCATCGGGCAGGTTCGTTGCAGGGACGGAGAGCGTCGGGAGCGAAAGAAGGACGTACGGTCGGCTTGCGTCGTGTCGACCAGCGGCGACCCCAGCGCGGGCGTTCCAGGTTGAGCGCCGCTGGCGGCCCAGAATCGATCGATGTTGAACGATCGGACGCTGCTGCAGCGGCCGATCGTTCAAGGTTGAACGATCCCTGCGGTGTCAAAAACCAACGCTGGGGTCGGCACGACACGAATCTGCCGCACACGTACTCCGGAGTTCGTAATAAAAGGGAGGGGGTCTCATTTCGGGGGGGGGGTCTCTTCCAGGCCATTTTGGAGGGCCTGGGGGGGTCTGGGGACGATGTTTTGGGGGGTTCTCCCACGGGGGAGGTCTAAAATGGCTTGTCTTGGAGGGTCCAGACCCCCTCCCTTTTATTACGAAATCTGGAGTACATGAACCCGCGCTGGTTTCGAGAGCAACCGCATTGCGCAAATGGTCGTATAGCGCGGCCAGTCTCGCGGATCGAGGGGCCGTGTTCATGTGCATAGCTGGGCGCGTACGTCCTTTGTGGGCTCCCTAGAGCGGACACCTTGCCTGATGTACCCCGACTGGATAAGATGAAATCGCCGGGATGGAGGCGGCATGCATCGCCAATGCTTCCCTGATTTCGGAGGGATGGAGGCTCACACCCGTCTCCCAAATCTGGCACCTTCATACATCGATCGGTTCATATTCCTTCGATTTATGGCAAAAACAAAAGCACACGTAGACGTACACTTTCTGATGTTCGCGCGGGTTTCTTGGATCGGCGCTGGGCCCCCCTGGCGGCTCTAGGGACGCGCCCCTGGCGCGCTCCGCGCGCGAGGGATGAGGGGTCCAGCGCCGATCCCAGAAATCCGCGCGGACCTCCAATTGTCTGTGTTTATGCAAATGTTTTCGTCTAAATGAGGCATGGCCTTCGGTGCAGATGCCTTCCAGTCATGGGCACAGGGTGGGCCTGCCCAAGGTGTGTGTGTGTGCGTGTGCGTAGTTTTCTTTCTTCTACGAGGCAGGCGCTGCTTGGCAGCCCCCGCGTGCACGCGGAGCGCGACGTGCTGTTGGCCTCGTCATTCGTAACGCGGCCCCCGCAGGCAAGGCCCTCTTCGATTCGATTCGATTCCGATCCGGTGCCGAGCTCGATTGGCTCGATCCGATTCGGTTTTGTGATGCCCTGGCGACCCGACACGGCGCGGGGCTTGCACGGCCCAGTAGTCCATCACTTGTCGCAGCCGATCCGCTTCGTTCTTCACTCCGTGCCGAGGAAGCCCGGTCCGATCGGTGCACGTTCCGATCCGATCCGGCCTCCCGGTCCAATGCTGACCGATCTTGCCAGCATGTGCAGGTTGGTGGTCTCCAAACCAGGTGGTGAGACACCCGGCGGTGACCCCGATTCCCCCCCAAAAATAATTCTGGGTCACCACCGGGTTTGGGGACACGCGGTCGGCACGAGGTTTTGCGTTTCCTGGGCCAGCCAGCGCTCGAAAACCATTACCCAAATCGCCCAAAACTCACCACCGGGTGTTCTCACCACCACGTTTGGGGACCACCAAGCAGGCCCCCACGACAGTGGCTACATTCACCGCCAGCGGGCAGCGGCTGGTCCTGGTGCCTGGCCGCTTCACGCCCTCGAAGACGGCGGGCTCGAGCTCTGCTGCGTCTTGAGAGCGGCCCGGGGAACGAGGCGGGGGCTCGTTCTCCTCCGAGCTCGTCAGCGCTCGTCACCGCCCTATCCTGAAGGCTGTCGCGACAACCAAGTTGTATGCTCCAGGCGATGCTTAAGAAAACTTACGTTTTCGGCCAGAGTCTCGATTATTCTTATTTTTTCAATGTAAATCCGAAGATTTCAAGAGAAGCTCTGGGTTTCTATTCAAATTCTGAGACTCTGAATTTCTTAACCCATGATTTCTTCATCATCTCGCATGGTGTATCCTGAATGCTGTCGCGACAACCAAGTTGTACGCTCATGCAGATCGAGCGCCTCGAATTCGTCCGGGGGAAGGAACGGTCTTCCCGGCTGAGCTTCCCTGCTTCTGTTCTGTCGCCGTGCTCTCAATAACCGCGTCCTCCCTCTCCCTCTCCTCCTCCTCCTCTCGGGCCGGGCGAAAGGGGGGGATTGGGAAAGGGGGGGTTACGAAATTTGCTGCATGCAGCTGGTTTCGGCCTCACCGAGGGGCCCATTCCTCGATACATAGCCGCCTCCGGCGCCGGGAGGCGCCAGGAAAATCAGCTACGTGAACTGATTCTCAAACCCCCCCTTTGCTATCCCCCCCTTTCGCCCGATCCGATCCTCGTCCCCCCCCCCTCTTGCGGATCATGAGTTCCGTAAACGTTGCACGCTCCAGTCGAGCGGCGGGCCCTCGCCGAAGGGCGGCCCCGTCGGCTCTCCGCGGCGTGGCGTGAGCTTTGTAAACGTCGGACGCTCCAGCTCTGGAGCGGCGGGCCCTCGCCGCACGGCGGTGCTGCCCTTCTCATTTTCTGGCGCAGGGGAGGGGCGGCGACGCGAAGGGGGGGAGTGCCCGGGCATGGTTGTGGTTGTGGTTGTTGTTGTTGTGGTTGTTGTGGTTGTTGTTGTTGTTGCTGTTGTCGTTGTTGTGGTTGTTGTTGTTGTGGTTGTTGATGTGGTTGTTGGTGTGGTTGTTGTTGTTGTGGTTGTTGCTGTTGTTGTTGTTGTTGTTGTTGTGGTTGTTGTTGTTGCTGTTGTTGGTGTTGTTGTTGTGGTTGTTGTTGTTGTTGTTGTTGTTGTTGTTGTTGTTGTTGTTGTTGTGGTTGTTGCTGTTGTTGTTGTTGTTGCTGTGCGTGTTGTTGTTGCGTGTGTGTGTGTGTGGGGCGGGGAAGCTTATCACACAGAGCCTGTTATCTGCTGGCGCACGCGCGGTGCGCATGTCGGCCTCGCATGGCTGTTTTCGCGGCCTTGAGCGCATGCGGAACAACGAATCACGCGTGGTAAAAGTGGTTGCAATGTGTGGGATCAAATGCAGGATAGTTCATGCACGCGCGAAGTAGCGAGGGCAATGCGTGGGATCAAGGACGCATTAGCTCTTGCACATCATCAGTTGCATCGGACCGAGTAGGGGCTACTACACTTGCGGAACAGAAAGCAGAGCAGTATACGCTCCCCTCGCTCCGACGCAACATTTGCGTTGCCACAGGACCTCTGTGTTGGTTCCGTCTGCCACCGCAGCGCTTTCAACGGGCAGCAGATTTGTGAATGAACCGGTTTCGGTAAGTCTTGCTCCCCTTTCCCCTCCTTTTAGTCCTTCCTCACCTCCCCTCTCCCCTTCGCTCCCTCTGTCCCTTCTCCTCCTTTCCACATCTTCCCCCCTTGCAGCCAACACACTGAACGCACTGTCACACTGGGTTGAGGAGGGGTTCTGGTTACTGGCCATTCCCCAGACCTGGAGGAGGAGGAGGAGGAGGAGGAGGAGGAGGAGGAGGAGGAAGAAGAGGAGGAGGAAGAGGAGGAGGAGGAGGAGGAGGAGGAGGAGGAGGGGGAGGAGGGGGAGGAGGGGGAGGAGGAGGAGGAGGAGGAGAAGGAGGAGGGGGGGAACCTCTTCGTGGCCGAGGCTCGCCGTGGTCCGCAGAAAAGCCCTTCGTTCCCTGCTCCTGCTCCTTCGGGGTCACACGACCACTGCCGCGTCCCCCGCAATCCTCCTCGTCGCCCCTCCCCGTCGGCCCCTCTCTCGCTTCCCGCTTGCCCACATCCTCTTATAGGAGGGTTCCAAGGGGGTGGGTGGGGGGGGGGGGGGGTTCCAGGAGGGGTCCCCCAGGGGCTTTGCACCCCCTTTTGCACCCCCTGTTTTGACAAGGTTCCGAGGCCCCTGGGGGGCTCTCTGGAAAACCCCCTCCCCCAAACCCTCTTGGAACCCTCCGGTCTTACTTCGTGCCCCTTCCATGTCGTTCCTCCCCGCTGCGACGGCCCGCCGTCGAGCAAAAGACGAGGAGGAGGGCACAGTCTTTGTACTGCTCTCTGTTTGTCTGCTTGTGCCTCCTTGTCCGCTGAGTACAGTCAAGTCGCATGGGAAGGATGAGTACTTTTCCCAGGCTACCCTTGCATCCTTGCCCCGTCGGCCCATCCTTGGCGAATATCGCTGGCCAGTCCCGTTCGAAAACGCCAACATTGCCCTCCAAGGCCTTTGCATCCTTACCGCGCATCCTTATGCGACTTGAGGGGGAGGAGGCGTGGTGATGCGCTGACAGAGGAGGAGGAGGAGGAGGAGGAGGAGGAGGAGGAGGAGGAGGAAAACAATGAGATTGCACGACGACGAAGAGGGTCAGGACGATGAGGAGCAAGCCATGAAAAGGAACAGGACATGCAAAGGAGGGGCCAACAGCAGCACGCATGACTGAGGAGGGCGCTTCGCACTGCGTGGCACCTCGCGACAAGCCCGTACCAATACCGTTCGAACCCAGCGCTCGATTTCAATCCCGCTGCTCGCGTCGGGGCGAACGCGTACCCCGCAGCTGGCGGGAAAGAAACGACGGCCTTCCTGTTTTCGAAGAGGGTGGGGGTGATTGCGATATGGCTCCACCACCAGGATCGAACAAGAGGAGCTGCATAAGCATTACTTCCAGAGGTCCGCGGGGAAGGGGGGAGGGGGGAGGAGGGGGAAATGGGGGGAGGAGGAGGGGGAAGGGGGGAAGAGGGGGAGGGGGGGAGGACAAGTTAGGTGCGCTCGCGTCAACATCTGACATCCTACCCCTCCCTCCCATCCCTTACCATGGCGCTGATTTTCTCTATCCGCGGACGCGTGTCGTAGCGGACCTGTGGCTCCGCGCGCGTGTGCGTAGTGGGTGGTGGTGCGCGTGCGTGCGTGCGTGTGTGCGTGGTTGTGGTTGTTGTGGTGGTGGTGTATGTGTGTGTGTGTGTGTGCGTGTGTGCGTGTGTGTGCGCGTGTGCTGTGGTGTGACGTGGTGTGGCGTCTTGGTGGTTTGGTGGTGGGCCAGGTGCGTACGTGCGTGATGGCGGTGGTGGTGGTGGCGGTGGTGGTGTGTGTGTGTGTGTGTGTGTCTCTGTGTGTGTGCGTGTGTGTGTGTGTGTGTGTGTGCGTGTGTGTGTATGTGTGTGTGTGTGTGTGTGTGTGTGTGTGTGTGTGTGTGTGTGTGTGTGTGTGCGTGCGTGCGTGCGTGCGTGCGTGCGTGCGTGCGTGCGTGCGTGCGTGCGTGCGTGCGTGCGTGCGTGCGTGCGTGCGTGCGTGCGTGCGTGCGTGCGTGTGTGCTGTGCTGCGCGCGTGTGATGTGGTGTGACGCGGCGTAGCGTGGTGGTGGTGGGTGGGGTAGTGCGGTGGTGGTGGCGGTGCGCGGTGGTGGTGCGCGTGCGTGCGTGCGTGCGTTGGTGGGTGGAAGTGGCGGTGGGTGTGCGTGCGGCGGGGCGGGGCGTGGTGCGGCGCGGTGGTGGCGGGCGGATGGGCGCGCGAGAAAGAGGCCCGCGCTGGGGCGAGAACGCCATCCTGAACGACGGAGGCAAAACACCGATCCGAAAATGAGGCCCACGCTGCAGCGGGAGCACGATTCGGAACGATTCGGGAGCAGAAATGAGGCCGGCGCCTCAGCGATAGCAGCATTTTGAAAAAAAAACGCAGGCGAAAACCCAACTCCCGGGAATCCTGTGTGTTAGAAAACAATACGCGGGGGGGGTCTAATATTCCCAGGCCGCCATCAGGGGAAGAGGGAGAGTCGTATTCATATTGAGTAATTGGGAGGGGGAAATGGGGAGGAGGAGGAGGAGGAGGAGGAGGAGGAGGAGGAGGAGGGGGAGGAGGAGGAGGAGGAGGAGGAGGCGGAGGAGGAGGAGGAGGAGGAGGAGGAGGAGGAGGAGGAGGAAGGAGGAGGAAGGGGGGAGGAAGAATGGGGCGAGGGGGGGAGGAGGGGGGAAGGGGGGAGGAGGAGGGGCCAGGGGAATGGGGGAGGAGGGGCAGGGGGAGATCGGCGGCGCGCTCGGGGGGGGGAACGCGGAGGGGCTCGCGGCCTTCTCGGGAGGCTCGGGAGGCCCGCGGCCTTCCGAGAAGCTTGCCGGGCCCCGTCCGGGGCCCCACGTGGTTTCGCAGCTTCGCAGCATGCTGGGGGGGGAGGAGGAGGAGGAGGAGGAGGAGGAGGAGGAGGAGGAGGAGGAGGAGGAGGAGGAGGAGGTCGGGCCTCTGAGAAGCCCCACCGCCTTCTGTGTTTGTGTGTGTGATGGCCGCTCCTCTCCTCTTTCTGTCCATCTGTGCTGCGATCCTCTCGGCGCAGGTGCTGGTTATGACACTGCGCCCGACCTTCATCGGGCCGTAGGGAAAAATACGTTCTCTGCCTCATGTCATCCTCTACCTGCGGATCTTACGGTAGGTTCGACCCTTTGGTCGTTAACCTCCGTACACACCTTCTGAGAAAGCCTGTCACCTCTCACTTCCCCCCTCGGTGAGCCGCCGAGGAAGGAGAGGATGAGGAGGGGGACGGGGCGGAGGAAGAGGAGGATGGGGTGGGGGAGGAGGAGTTACATGCGAACCAGGTCGAGCGAGCCAGCAGGCCCCGCCCAGCGAATGGAAGCGGGAAGGGAAGGCTGGTCCCCAAGTGGTTCCTCCGACGATGGGCGGGTACGGCGGCAAGAATGGCGGCGGGTATGGCAAGGACGGTGGCGGCTATGGAAAGGCCCCCACACGCGCCTGCTGCTGCTGCAGCTGTCTTCGTCTCTGGGGCCTTCCACGGTCACCTTGTCGTTGCGGTTCGGTTCGGGGCGATGATGGTGCAACGGAACAGGTGCGTGTTTCCGAGACTCACACTATGAGGGAATAGGAAGGTTCAGTCATGTCTTCGCACTCTTTTTGAGGCTCGCCCAGCCCGGTGGGCAAGCCGGGCTTGGTCTGCGGCGTTGAGTCCTAGTCGCATGGGGTTCAGCTGTGCTAGCATGGGGCTGTTTGCCACATTCTGCTTCAATCGTTGCTGCCTTGTCCATGAGGTGCCCTGAGGCCTTGAGGGCTATTTGGGCGGAGCACAGAGCCAGGCAGGAAGAGGAGGAGGAGGAGGAGGAGGAGGAGGAGGAGGAGGAGGAGGAGGAGGAGGAGGAGGAGGAGGAGGAGGAGGGAGGAGGGAGGAGGGGGAGGAGGGAGGGGGAGGGGGAGGGGGAGGATGCCCTGTTCGCTAGGTGGTGAAGGCGGGCCGCCGGGAAGCCCGCCTCCTCGGAGGGGCGGCGCTCTCGAGTAGCAGAGTCGCACGTTCGAGCGTGGCACGAAGCGCAGCTCAGCTGGTTTCAGGATCACGCTTCCGCTCCTTTTGTGTGTGTGTGGACACATAGGCATCGACCTACCTCAGAGCCCCGAATCATCAGGGGTAACTCGGGTCAGGGTTAACTCGGGTTTGTTTTTCGGGAGTCCGAGCCCGAGTTATCCCGGACCCGAGTTACCCCAGATATTTCGGGCGTCCAGAGCCCCGAATCATCAGGGGTAACTCGGGTCAGGGCTAACTCGGGTTCGTTTTTCGGGAACCCAAACCCGAGTTACCCCGGACCCGAGTTACCCCGGATAACTCGGGCGTCCAACTACCTGCATGTACAGTGATGCACACGTTTTATCCGTGAGGGCTTCGCCCCCTGCCGCCGGCCCCCTCTCTGTCATAGCGGGGTGCATACGAGCTATTTCAGGATGTCTTGGTGCCGTCGTGAGGACATTGTGAGGCTGTCGCCGATGGTGATGCCGGTGGTGCTGATGCCGACGCCGGTAGTGACGGTGATGGGGATATTGCTCATGCTGCTGCTGCGTGCGCCGGTAAAGACGCTGATGATCATGTTGATGGTGGTCGAAGGCGGGGCCTGCGGGGACGCGAGCACTGCGCAATTCACGGGGGGGCCGTGGCCTCGGTGACGCAGCGACTGAGTAAGTTGCGGGGCTTTCTGGCCTCGAGGCCGCGAACATTTTGCGAGATTCACAAGAACGTATGGCTTCAGGGACGCGAGCGTTCCACAGTTTACGAAGGCTTCGGGCTTCGAGGGCGCAGACATTGGGTAACGTACGGGGGATCGTGGCCGCTCGTGGGCGCGAATCTTGTACCATCTACGGGGGATCGGGGCCTCGTGGACGCGACGATTGCCCCATTTACGTGGGTCCGTGGTCTCGGGAGCGCGAGCATGGTGTAATTTACAAAGGGTCAGGGCTTCGGTCCCATTTACGTGGGTCCGTGGTCTCCGGAGCGCGAGCACGGTGTAATTTGCAAAGGGTCAGGGCTTCGGTGACGCAGATCTCAAGTGATTTACAAGGGCGTCTGGCTCCGGAGGGCGCGAGTGTGGTGCCGCTTCTTCGGGACCGCGGCCTCGGGGACACGACTGTTGTGTTAGTTTCGGGTGGTGGTTGCCTCGTGGGCGCGACGACTGCGTAATTCATACGGGGCCGTGGCCTCGGTTACGCGAGCATTGCGAAGTTATGGGGGATCTAGGCTTCGATGTCGCAGATATTGCATGTTGTACTCCGATGTTACTGGATCCGTGCATTGCCTTCTTTACCATGGATGATGGCTTCGCAGACGCAAGCACGGCGTACTACGAAGGATCGTGGCCTCGGGGACGCGAATCTTGTATGTGGTTTGGGGGACGCGAGTACGGCGTAATGTGCACTGGTTTTATGGCCTCGGGCACGCGGACATCGTGCAATTTACGATTGGTTATGGCCTCGGGGACGCGACTGTTACATAATTTGCTAGGGTTTATGGCCTCGGGCAGGCGAACGCCGCGTTACAACATTTTATTGCCTCTGGGGCGCGAGCCTCATGTATGTTGGACGTGTCCCACGACCCCCCAGGAGTTCTGAGACCCCCAGGAGCCCAGGAGGGCGTGGTGTAGGGTCCTTTTGGGCTTCCCCCCCGCCTCGCGCGGACTTCAACAGCTTACACTGGGAAGTGAACCGTGGGCCTGCAACATGGGTTCGGATGCAACTCCCGGGAGGTCGAATTCTGATTTTGCCCTGGTGCGAAATCCGGCTTAATCCGGCTTGATCCCGTCTAATCCAGCTCGATCCCGCTTAGTCCCGCTTGCTCCGGCTTAGTCCCGCTTGACCCGAGTCCCACTGCGGTGTAACAGCCCCCCCGATGGGGCTTACTCCTCCTGAATACTTCCGACGAAGACCTCCCAGTAGTTGCCTCCTAGGGTCCAAGGTCAGTTCCCTTGTGTTCTTCGTGTTTGTTGGCTGTTCTTGTGCATCCTGGGAGGGGGGTGCCCCTGGATGTTCTGTTTGCTCTTGCCGACGGAGTGTCCCAGTAGTTGCCTCCACTGCATGGAAAACTTGACACCGGTTCTGGAGCAGGGAGCCGCAGTTTAACAAGCCGCGCAGCCTGGTGGTGGCCCCACGAGTCGTACTTAGATGCAGATCGTCTCGTACATTTGGGAGGAGGAGCAGGAGGAGGAGGAGGAGGAGGAGGAGGAGGAGAAGGAGGAGGAGGAGGAGGAGGAGGAGCAGGAGGAGGAGGAGGAGCATGGTGGCCCCACGAGTCGTACGTATACAGATCGTCGTGTACATTTGGAATCCTTGCAGTTCTGTTTAGTACAGTGGGGGCCCATGCCAAGGAACACCCTGCTTGCCTCCAGTGTGCCCTGGGTTTCTTGGGTTTCGATGGTTTTGCGATGGAAGGCGTGGCGTTCCCACACCAAAAATCAATGGACGTCCTGGGGTCTCAGGGTTGGGTTTCTTGTGGAAGGTTTCTTGTGGTCGGGCCACCATTGTACAGATCGTCTTGTACAATTGGAGTCGTTGTAGTTCTGTTTAGTAAAGCGTGGCTGCGCGCGGTTCATTTTTGCTCTGGTGGTTCCTTGCAATTATTGACGCTTCGCGTATCCCCACAAGTTTCCGTAGCCAGTAGCTCTGGCTCAAGAGAGAGAGAGAGAGAGAGAGAGAGAGAGCGCCGCACGCACGGGAGCGCGGCCGCGGGGGCGCGCCCCCGCAGCGGCGGCCAGCGCCCCGTGGCCAGGCCGGCAGGGCGCCGCGCGCCCCCCCGCGCCCCGCGCCGATGGACGTGCTGGGCTCCTCCGACGACGAGGGCCGCTTCGACGACGAGGGCCGCTTCGAGCCGTCCGACACGCAGGTGGCCAACCTGGCGTCCCTGGTCGAGTGCGACCCCGCCGTGTGCCGGAGGGCGCTGGGGCAGGCGAGGGGCGACCCCGACCTCGCCGTCCAGCTCATCTTCGACAAGAGGGTCGAAGTGGCAGCGCCCTCGCCCGCGGCGGCGGCGGCGGCGGCCGTGCCGACGGCCCTGCTGGCGGCCCCGGCCGCGCAGGCCGCGGCGCAGGCCGCCGCGCCGCCGGCCGCGGCCCGGCGAGCCGCCGCGGCCCCCGAGGGGCCGCTGCCGGCGCCGAAGCGGGCGAGGACGGGGCGGCGCGGGGCGGCGGAGGGCGGGGCCCCGTGGAGGCCGTTCGAGGACGGCGGCGTCGGCGGCGAGGCGTGGGCCCGCGGCGTGCTCCGGAACGCCCAGCCGGGCCTGTCGCTGCGGGGGCTGCCGGACGCCGCGACGTGCAACGCGCTGGCCAAGGCACAGGGGCGCGGCGTCAGGGACGGTGCACGAGGCGCCGGAGGACATACCGCCGCCGCCCCTGGGCGGCGACAGCGAGGAGGACGGGGCCGTCACCCGAGGCATCGCGCTGCGGTGCCAGTTCGAGGCCCTGCTGAGCGAAGTGCGCTACCCTCCGAGCGCCCTGCAGTGCAGCTGGCGGCTCCGGCCGACGGGGCACCCCGTGCCCGAGGACCTCGTTGACGACGTCCCCCCGCGACCCTTCGAGCTCCGGAGCAACGCGGACAGCGCCCCAGCGCCTCAGCCGCCGCACTTCGCGCAGCACCCCCTGCGCCCAGAGCAGCTCAAGAGCCTGGGCTGGATGCTGGAGCAGGAGTGCGGTCGTGGCCCGTTCCAGGTCGAGTGGCGGCGCTATTGGACCACCAAGCCCGAGGAGATCGACGAGAACGCGTGCATGAGCCTGGTGTCCCGCGGCATGCGGGTGTCGATTACGCCCGCACGATGCCTCAAGAACAGTCCCCAGGAGAAAACGGTGTGCACGGTCAAGAAAGTAGGGAGGTCTGCGGTCACTGTTTCGTCGCCTTCTGGTGACGACATCGATTGCCCTGTCAGCAAGCTTGACGGCTTCTCCCCTCACGAGATCATGCCGTTGCCGCTGGAGGCTGGATGCCTCGTGCGAGTTCGCGGGGACGTGGCCGTCCCGAAGCACGGCTGGGGAAACATCGACCACGATTGCTTGGGAGTGGTGAAGAGCGTGCAGAACGAGGATGTGCTCGTCTTGTTCGACAAGTCCGTGCGGGCCAGGACTTGGCACGGGATGAAGAGCGAGATGGAGAGGGTGTCCCTTGACACGGCGGGATCGAGCAACAACATGCACCCTGAGCTCCGGGTCCAGGCTTCTTACGACGTGAGGGGCGGCATATTGGGGGACAAGATTGGCTTCGGGAAGACGGCCACGACCATCGGCCTGATCGATGCCACGTCCGCGTCTCCCCTGCCGGCGGTCCCGGCGATCGATGGGGGCAGGTTCATCCCCGCGAAGGGCACGTTAGTGATCGTGCGCGAGGACCTCCTCGAGCAGTGGCTGACCGAGATCTCCAAATTCACGTGGGGTGGCCAGAACCTGAAGAAGAGGATGTCCGGGGGCTGGTCTCCTGGCCGGCTGCCCCCTGCGGGTCTTCGCCGCCTGCGACGGGCGCGCCGTCGCCGCGGCGAAGGCCTCGGCGCTGGCGGAGGCCGACGTCGTGCTCTGCTCCTACCGGCTGCTGTACTCGCAGGCCTACTTGAACAGGCGGAGAGAGCTTGTGAATTGCTGCGCAGAACTGGATGCGGTCACGGGGTCATCGGCGTTGCACGAGCTGGAGCTGGTCACCGAGTCGCTCATGCAGGGCCACGGCCAATTTCATGTGCCCAGCGGCAAAGCCGTTCGTGAAGACCGGCGCTACGAGTCCACATGGCAAGAGCTGAGGTTCCCCCTCCTGGAGATGTTCTACTGGCGCAGAGTGGTCTTCGATGAGTTCCACGAGCTGGAGAGCTTCGAGAGCGCCCAGCAGAACATCCTGCAGCACCTCCGGTCGCACTTCCGGTGGGGCCTCACCGGCACTCCTCCCGTGGACACCACTGCGGGTGGCATCTTCATGTCCTTCCTGTTCCGAGTCGACATCATAGGCGGCGGAGGCCCGCGTTGGCTGAAGAATCCGACGCGCCCAAACTTGGGGGAGTTCGAGACCGACTGCCTCGTCACGTCGCACGCGGAGAGCTTCGTGGGGCACTACGTGCGCCAGAACGTCGCGGACCTGCCCCACATCCGCGTAGAGCACAGCTCCGTGCTCGTGACGCACTCGGCCGAGGAGCGGGCCGTGTACCTGGGGCAACTCCACGACTCGCCCGCGCGGTCCGACGAGAGCCTCTCCTCCCCGGACGGCAGGGTGAAGGACTCGGCGTTCGAGGCCCTCGAGAGGCTGCTCAAGCTGTGCTCCCACTTCCAGCCTGGGGGCGAGACCAGCTCGGACGCCGAGGAGGAGTGCAGCCGGCTGGGCCAGAAGCGCGTGAAGCGGGTCGCCGCCGCGAGGGGTCGCGTGGAGCGCGGGTGCCGCATCTTCCGGCTGCTCAGCATCAAGGCCGACGCCCTGGGCCGGCAGCCGCCGCCGGGGCCCGGGGCGGAGGCGGTGGCCCGCCTCGTGCAGACGGCGGGCGGCTGGCAGCAGAGCGTCACGGCCGCCGCGCAGGCGCTCCGCGCGCAGGGCGAGGGCGAAGCGGGGGCGAGCGTCACCGCGGCGAAGGAGCTGCAGGAGGTGATCACGGGCCTCGGCGGCGAGGACGAGGAGCAGCCCCTGAAGGCGATGGACGGGGTCCGACCGGCGAGCGGGGCGCTGCTGGCGCAGCTGGGGCAGCCAGAGCCGCGCCGCGGGTACACGCGGGAATGCTGGGGCGCATTCGTGGCGGCGCCCACGGAGCCGGGCGCGCTCGCGCCGCTCGTCGAGGAGCAGCTCTCGGAGGTCGCGGCCGCCCTGCAGGAGCTGAAGGACGCGCTGCGGAGCCGCCAGTTCTTCCAGCAGGCGCTGGCCGCGCTGGCGGACTCGGCCGAGGCGAGGCACTGCTCGGTCTGCCTCGAGGACGACCTGCCCCTCACCAAGCTGGCGATCACGCCCTGCGCCCACAGCTTCTGCATCGACTGCCTGCGCAAGACGGTGCAGCAGTTCAAGAGCTGCAGTATCTGTCGGCAGCAGCTCAGTCCCGGCGACGTGGCGCCCGTCTCCCTCGAGCTGAAGTCCAGCATTGCTGGCGCGGGCTCCTCGTCCTCGTCTTCGCCCTCGCCATCAGCGGCCGCTGCGCCCCCGCCGGCGCCCGAAGGCGCGCCTCCGCAGGACGAGCGGCTCCGGCGGTACGGCGCCAAGCTCGCGCTCTTGGTGGGGAGATTGTGGGCGCTGCGCCAGGCGGACCCGACCGCCGAGGTAATTCTTTTCGTGCAGTTCGACGACCTGAAGCGGAAAGTGGCCGCGGCGCTCGCGGAATTCGGGGTGCCCAGCGTCACGCTGCACGGCAGCGTCTCGTAGCGCGATTCTATCATCAACGATTGGCAGAACAACGCGGGGTTGTCCACCTTCGTGCTGCTGCTGTCCCTGGCGCAGAGCGCCTCCGGTACCAACCTCACCGCGGCGAGCCACGTGGTGTTCCTGCACCCCGTGCTCGCCGAGACCGCCGACGCGGCGGTGGGCTACGAGGAGCAGGCGATCGGCAGAGCGGCCCGGCACGGGCAGCAGCGGGACGTGGTGCACGCGTGGCGCTTCGTCACCGAGGGCACGGTCGAGCAGACCATCTCGGACCGCAACATGGCGGCCATGGCGGTCCGCGAGGCAGCTGGTCACCGGGCGTCCGCGCCGGCCGCGACACGGGCGCGGCAAGGGCGCTGCAAAGGCCGCGGCAGAGGCCGAGGCCGCGGGGGGCGCGGCCAGGAGCGCCCTTCCAATGTCGCCGCTGTCCCCGACGAGGACCTATATGCCTATATGGCATGGCCGCGCTGACCCAGGCGATTCGACCCCCGACAGCCTCGCCAGCCCACCTGAGGCGCACCCGGCACCCTGCCGCTTAGACGGGCGCTGCTTGGCAGCTGCTCTGCAGATTGGCCAGGAGGCGCCTTCCAGCGGGAGAGGGGCTCTAGGATTGTCGGCGCTTCTTCTGCCCCTCCGGAGCGCGCGCAGTGGCCTGCATGCGGCGGGCTAGCTCCCACCCCTATCCTCCCCTCCCCTCCTCTAGCCTCGCCTCCTTCGCCCCCGTCCTTCTCCTCCTGCGCTTCCGCCCCCTGTCAGCCGATCCGCCCCGCGTCGACGGTCTATAGAGCCCTCTCGCCTCTCCCGGCGCGCGCGTCACCAGTGCGACGACGCGACCGGCGCCGTGGCAGGGCCGGTGCACAGGGGGCGTCCACGCGCAGGTGGAACAAAAAAAAAGAAGAAAAAACAAAAGAAAAAAACTTCAGACCCGCTTGCGGCATTCCGCCGCCCCTCCTGGTATACACGCACGCCCTGCCTTTGGATCCAAGTACGTGTGCCAGCAATACCGTCCACACTGCTATCTCGTGTTGCGTGTGGCCATAGTGGCCCCGGGCCCCACTGTAGCTGTTTTCACCCTGCCAGGCCTGCCTGGCGCGCAGCTGCTGTGGCCGACGACGTGGCGGCTTCCGCCCCGTGCCCAGAACTGCGCACACTCCCTGGGGCTTCCAAGTTACTACGGCCTTCAGCCGTGCCTACCCTATTCTCCTGGGAGTAACGAGACACGGATGGACGGGCGGTCCATCGCCGCGGGTTGCTACGCCGAAGGGCGGAAGGCTCACCTGGCCCGCCGCCCCTCCGACTGGGCCGACGGCCTCACCCGATCAGCTCCGCCCGCCGATGCCACGCGTCACTACCCTGGCTGCTGCACGGTTTCGGAGTATGACGGTCTGGCCCTTCCTCGTTGCTCTCCCGCGCATTCAGGTGTGCGGATCTCCCTGGGACTCTGTGACTGTGAGGGACTTGCTGTCTTGGGTTTACGACGGTTGTTGTCTCCGAGCGCCTCCACATGGTTGAGTTAGTCGCCTGGCGCTACGTCACATAGTTGTTCGGTGCACGTCACTCTCGAGCGACCCCGCGTTCTCGCTGTGTGGCTACCCGTGCACCCCTGCTGCGTCCTGACTAGTCCGCTGGTCCTCTGTACGCAGGCGCATCGCTCAGCAGTGGTTGGGTCTCCTTTGACTGCTCTGGCTTAGGCTTCCCCTTGCGTGGATGCGTTCTCTGATGCTGCGACGGTTCGCTGGCGCTGTCAGAACTTTTCTCCTGCTGGACGACGTCACCAGTACTGTCTGGCCATACCCGTCAGACTCCCTGGATTGACTTTCTCGCACGGGGACCGTTCCCTACCACGCGGTCGTCTCTACTCGATCGCGGCCTGGGACGTACTGCGCGCCATTTTGGCTGCGCCTGGCTCGCCCGAGCGCTGACCTTTCAGACTCCCTGGGTTGCAGCTTGCACGACCGTCTCAGGTGACTGACCTTTCAGACTCCCTGGGATTGCACGACCGCTGGCCTCTCAGACGCCCTGGGTTGCCGCTGCTTGCCGCCTGATCCGCGGCCCCGCGCGCGCTCGGGGATTTAGTCGTGGCCGCAGCCCGACCGTGACTGTTCGCCGCTGGCGCTTCCGCCTGCGGCTGTAAAAAAAGGTATCCCCACCAGCTGATCCAGAAACGATGCCGTGCGAACTGTCCTGATGGGAGAAGTGTCGCACCATGAGGTGGAACAAAGGGTGAAGGGAGACCATGCCTCTGTACATATGCCTTCGTGGATCTTTCCACTGGGAAGGGCTAGCTAGAAGGTAGAAGACGATCCGAGAGGACAGCGGTGTTGAGAATACGAATTGAGATGATGGTGATGGTTGTCATGCTGATGATTGTGATGATGCTGATTGTGACGATGATGGTGATGAGGAGCATGACGTTCATTATTACTATGATGATGACTTTGAGGATGATGCTGATGACGACGATGCTGCTGATGATGATGCTGTTGATGTTGATGATGATCACGACGACGAGGACGCTGATGACGATGACGATGACGACGACGATGATGACGATGATGATGGTGATGATGATGATGATAATGATCGTGATGATGCCGATGATGACGATTTTGGTCGTGCTGGTGAAGATGATGATGATGATGATGAGGAGGAGGAGGAGGAGGCTGATGACGACGGTGATGGTGATGATGATGCTGCTGCTGATGATGATGATGATGATGCTGCTGATGCCGATGACGATGATGACGATGATGCTGATGTTGATGCTGATGCTGATGCTGCTGATGATGATGATGATGATAATGATGATGCTGATCATGAGTCTGAGGATAATGCTGAGGGTGATGATGCTGCTGCTGCTGATGGTGATGACGCTGCTGATGCTGCGGATGATGATGTTGCCGCTGCTGATGATGATGCGACTGCTGATGACGATGTTGATTAGCATGATGGTGATGTTGCGGTTCCTGTTGTTGTTGTTGTTGTTGTTGTTGTAGTTGTTGACGATATGGTGATCATGGTAATGATGATGAAATGATGACGATGAGGATGAGAGGCGGTCGATGAGGAAGATGAGAAGGAGGAGGAGGAGGAGGAGGAGGAGGAGGAGGAGGGGCAGTAGCAGCATCAGCAGCAGAAGCAGCAGCATCAGCGGCAACAGCAGCAGCAGGGAAGAGGGCGATCAGACGGAGCAGAGGAAATCGAGCAGATGAATAGGGGCGGCAAGGGCGAACTCAGAGCTTTCCAGAGGCCCCCTGGGCATTCCAGAGGGGGTTGAGGGGTGGTGGCGGGGGGAGGGGGGAGTGGAGTGTGTGGAGGGGGTGTGGAGTGGAAGGGGGGGGTGGAGGGGGGATGGAGAGGGGCAGAGGGGGGGTTTGGATTGGAGGGGGTGGTGGAGGGGGGGGGTGGAGGGGGGGCTGCGGGAGGGGTGGAGGGAGGGTGGGGGGGGGGTTCTGGTGGAAGGCGGGCCAGACCCCAGGGGAGAGGGTAGGGAGAGGGGTTTCGATCAGGAAGGTGGAAACGGAACCGCTCTGAATGACCTCCGACTCGAGGGTTGGTGGGATCAGCAAGCACGATAAGTTTACATGATGATCTTGTTGTACCTTCTGCTTCAGATGTTTCGGTCTTCTGTCTCGCTCCGTGTAGGGGTAGCTTAGCGTGCGTCAGTTTCGACTCGGCTGAGACACAGCGTACCTCTAGCCTACTGTTAGCTTGCATTCGCTTAGTATTAGCGCGCCTTTAGGTCACAGCCCTGACATCTGCTTTCGCTATCCTTTCCGTTGTCGCTCTCGTTTCGACGGTAGCTTTAGCTCCGGGTTCAGGAGTTGTTTTGGTTGTTGCCTTGCGTTGTGCAATGGGTTTCAAGTCAGCCCCTCCGTAGAACCAGCCTTGACTGTAGCCGCGTGCTCAGCTGCACAGCGAGCTATTGGTGTCAGCAGGGCGAGCTGGCAGAGTGACAACTGGTTGGTCTTTGGCGTCTTATTTGGTGTGTGTGTGCGTGGACTGGTGTCTTTGGTTTGGAGGGCGGGTTGCACGCAAGCGTTGGAAGCAGCGTTCTTCTGCTGTCGTCTCGTGGTGCTGCAGCGCAGTGTCTCGTGAGGGTTGGGGCCGCTGCGTTCTAGGAACGAGTTTGTCCCGCTAGCCGCTAGCCATCAGGCTTTTTTGTTTGTTTCTCTTCTCCTTCTCCTCCTCCTCCTCCTCCTCCTCCTCCTATTTTCTTATTCTCGCCCTCCTCCTCTTCGTCGTCTTCTTCTTGTTATGCTTATTATTTTTCTTCTCTCCTCCTCCTCCTCCTCCGCCTCCTCCTCTCTCCCTCCCCTCCTCTGTTCTTCTCCCCTCCTCTTCTTCTTCTCGTCGGTGCTTTGCTGCTTCTGGCCTCTGCCAGGTCTTAGGTCAGCAGCCGCTGTGCGTGCCAGCCGTGGTCTGGCAGCCACGCTGCCCGTTCTCCCTCCTTGGTCTCGTCCTCCCTCCTCTTCCTCCTCCTCCTCCTCCTCCTCCTCCTCCTCCTCCTCCTTCGACGCGGTGAACCGGCTGTCCCCCTACGCACCACGCCGTCTCGGTTGGGCAGCGAGTCGCTGAGCGACGAGGTATCTGCCTTTCCCCTGACCGTCGGTGCTGGCGCGTGCGTGCCCCCCTCCTCCTGTCGGGGAGGCCGAGGGTGACGGTTGAGCCTCGCTCGCCGTTCATTTCTCGGATCTATGACACTCATGACACTCCTCCTCCTCCTCCTCTCCTCCTCCTCCTCCTCCTCCTCCTCCTCCTCCTCCTCCTCCTCCTCCTCCCTCCCTACCTCCTCCTCCTCCTCCCTCCTCGTCCTCCTCCTCCTGCTCCTCGTCCTCCTCCTCCTCCTTCTCCTGCTGGGCGAACTCTCTCTCTACGCTTGGCTCCTCCTCCTCCTCGTTCTCCTCGTCCTCGTCCTCCTCCTCCTCCTCTTCCTCCTCCTCCTCTTCCTCCTCCTCCTCCTCCTCCTCCTCCCACGCGTCCAGCCAGGCCGACCTGAGGCCGCGGAGGTTTCGGGGGGCCCGCCAACCGTCCCTGGCCTGCGGAGAGCGCGCCCGACGATCACCCTGCCCGAGGGCCGGGCCCGAGCGCGGAGCCGTGGTGCGCCCGTGCCGCGGCGGCCGCCCGGAGCGTCGCGGCGTGCCGGGCTGTGCTCCGGTGCCGGAGTGCGGCGTGCTGCTCGAGCCAGCGGGGTCTGCGCCCCCCGTGCCTCGGCAGCGTTCGGGCGCTCTCTTGTCGGCGAGGGCCGTCGAGGAGCATCAGTTCCCCGGGCTCGTTGTTGCGATCGACTTCGAGTGCACCAAACTTGCGCGTCGCCAGGCAGCTGCGCCTGGCGGCGCGCCAGGCTGTTTCGGAAACGAAAGGACAAAAAGTTGGGCCCCGCTCGAGCGTGTTTTCCTCAACGAGATCCCCTTTCGTTACTTCCATTCGCGGCGGATGACACTGGCGACATGTTTCAACTCATGGCGGGTCCGCTTTCTCAAGTGACGGCGGGCCCCCCAGGGGCGGATCCTCCTGATTCCGGGAGGCTGACGGTGAGGGAGTCGGACACCATTGTTCGGATAGGCGGTTGGCCGCCGCACGGAATGCCTCGGCGCAGGGAGTGTGG